TAAAAATTGTTATTATGTAGAGCATGCTCTTGCATATCGAATCAACCAGTGTTCGAAATTAGCGTCGGTTCGTCTGTCCTGCGCCGACGTACAAACGGAAGGACTCGTGTATAGCATGACTACATGTAGGCCTTTCAATTAATTTTTCATGTTGCACATATGGTAAAAAAAATTGTATAGATAGATTCATAGGTACATGAAATTATCAAAAAAGATAATAACTTATGCATACTTTTAATTACATCATTTTAGTTTAATCATTTATAATTGACTTTTCCGATGTTGTGTTTAAGGACACGTAACTCAGGTGTGAAAAATGACCAACTTAGTGCCAATTTATGAGTTATCGTTTATAGGAATCACATATAGGCTGCTTCAGCATTGGTATTGTTATGTACACAGAAGGGTTCCTTACATTGTTTTGTACACACAAGTTTTGACCAAGAGAAGAAGAATGCCTTCACTCTACTTGTAATAACAGGGTCAAAGGAATGGGGAACAGACTATATTCAATAGTTTTAACTCTCTTTGACGATTATTATGAAGAAAATTTAAAGTCATGTTTTTAGCTCACCTGAGCCGAAGGCTCAAGTGAGCTTTTCTGATCAAAATTTGTCCGTTGTCTGTTGTCGTCGTTGTCGGCGTCGTCGTTGTCGTCGTAAACTTTTCACATTTTCATCTTCTTCTCAAGAACCACTGGGCCAATTTCAACCAAACTTGGCACAAAGTATCCTTGGGTGAAGGGGATTCAAGTTTGTTCAAATGAAGGGCCACGCCCTCTTCCAAGGGGAGATAATCATGATTTAGAGAAAAATTATTGGCATTTTAAAAAAAATCTTCTCCTCAAGAACCACTGGGCCAGGAAAGATGAAACTCATGTAGAATCATCCTCAGGTAGTGTAGATTCAAGTTTGTTCAAGTCATGACCCCCGGGGGTAGTGCGGGGCCAAAATGGCCGATCAAAGTTTTACATAGGAATATATAGGAAAAATCTTTAAAAAAACTTCTTCTCAAGAACCACTGGGCCAGGAAAGATGAAACTCATGTGGAATCATGCTCAGGTAGAATAGATTCAAGTTTGTTCAAGTCATGATCCCCGGGGGTAGGGCGGGGCCAAAATGGCCGATCAAAGTTTTACATAGGAATATATAGGAAAAATCTTTAAAAATCTTCTTCTCAAGAACCACTGGGCCAGAAAAGATGAAACTCATGTGGAATCATCCTCAGGTAGTGTAGATTCAAGTTTGTTCAAGTCATGACCCCCGGGGATAGGGCGGGGCCAAGATGGCCGATCAAAATTTTACATAGGAATATATAGGAAAAATCTTTAAAAATCTTCTTCTCAAGAACCACTGGGCCAGGAAAGATGAAACTCATGTGGAATCATCCTCAGGTAGTGTAGATTCAAGTTTGTTCAAGTCATGACCCCGGGGTAAGGGTGTGGCCAAAATGGCCGACTAAAGTTTTACATAGAAATATATAGGGAAACCTTTTTAAATCTTCTTTTCAAATACTTCAAAGCCAGGATTAGTAATATTTGTATGGAATCACCCTCAGGTAATGTAGATTCTAGTTCGTTCAAATTATGATCCCCTTGGGGGTTCAAATTCAAGCCCCCCCCCAACTTAAATTAACTTTCAGTTCTGATCTGATATGTGTTTTTTCCTAGCTGATGTGCTCAGGTGAGCGCTGTGGCCCCTGGGCCTCTTGTTTGTGTTCGCGCTTTTTCGCTTCCTGTGTAAATATATATATATATATTTACAAGTACATGCAACAATTGATCATCTTATTTGTGTTGCTAAGCACGAAGGGGAACGACCGAGTAAAAAAGTTAAATTAGGTTAGAACTAAGAAGGAGGGTAGATTTCACTTTTATTTTAAGTAAAAATTTTTATTATATGCTGTTAACCGGTGTCTGCAACTTTACAGTAAATAAGTTATACATTGGTGCTAAATTTTAAAACCACTGGATTCTACTGAGAGCAAAGAAACACTTGGGAAATGCTAAAAACTGCCTTGCGTGTAAACAGTTGGATACCCCGAGCCTGCTCTAAACAAGTTTCAACAGTGAGTTATTGTTCATTACACCGACCCCTAGCGGCAGTTGAAAGGCCTACTACATTGGTCCTTGGAATGGTTTTGGGCCGATGATAATTTGCCAAGAAAGAAGGCCGAAAAATTTTCTTTCCTATGACCCGACCGACACATTTAAATTCCTATATATGTGTGTTGGTTTCAATCAGCTGATGCAATTTTTATAAAAAATGTTAATTATAGCTTTAGCTGAAATATAAATATGTCATCCTAGTCAACCTTCACTTAAGTATGAAGAGCAATGATCATTTTATATCATCTAGCATTTCCCCCCCCCCCCCAATTTGTTTAGCTTCGTTTTCTATCGCAAGACAGCCATGTTGGGTGTGTAATGTAAATGTCCTGGGATGTTTGGCCCTATTTATTTAGGTACTTAGGGAAAAGTGAAAATTAATGTTTTAAATGGAAACTTTATTATTCTTCAATACGTGAGATCGTACATTAGGCAAAAAAAAAACCAGTATACAGACAGACCCTGTTTTTTTGGAGGGGGGTGTTACAGGAAACAAAAAGTATGTTTACAGTAATATTAACATTTTTGGTGAAATAACTTTATTTTTGGTGAGGAATCGATAAACTTACAAAGATTGTCAATAAAAGTTTATTTTCCCAGAATATTTGATGGTATTATTTTTGGGCCCATGCTGCCTTGGAGGAACTTGCGTAGACCCTTTATCAGTGGGTCCTTTGGACCCACAGAAAATAATTTCGAATTTCCAACAATGGATTCAACTGAGATATATATATTCTGTTTTTAATTCTTTGTTCAAATTTTCACAAAAATGAATTTTAAAGAGAAACATGTTTGTGTAGATAAATAAGGATGGTTTCAGAATGGAATACTTCAAAACATTTCAGAAGGTTTACAATTTATTATATTCTAGAAATTTATTATTTGCATCATTTGCAATAGAATTAAGCCAAAAATGTATACCAATCCAGGCATCCATTTTTTGTTTCATCTGGCCTTAATGCGACCATCGGAAGTAAGGAAAATTAACTCAAACATTAATATTCTGTTTACAATTAACTTTACCGAGATTGTAAAAGAATGCAAAAGGATTTTTCATGAATATTATCTTTAGTTTATCATTCTCTTTAACGACCTCAGTATGATGCAAAAATTTCTTTCAGAACTATACGTTCCTGGGTTAATGACTTCTAATGCCCTCAGTTTTTTAGATTCAAGAAACAGATCAGTTCAGTATGTTTGTCAATGATAAGAATCTGATATCTTGTACTTTCGCAGTTTTGTTTTAGAGAATGAGCATTCTGGAAACAGTTTAATTAAATCACATCACATCCGACCAGAAAGAGAATCATCCATAAATTCTTTAGATAATGATCAAATCAAGAGAAGTTCTATTCCGACTAGATCTTACCTTCCGCTAAATTACAACAGACCTCGAGAACCAAGCTTCCAAGGTCTCAGTCGCTTTTAGATGGAAGCAGACGATTTGAAAGGTACGAAGACGACTGTAATCACTTATATAATTAGAATTTTAGCAATTAAACTATAACAAATTGAATGCAATGACATCATATCCCTGCAAAAACACCAAGTTTGAAAAAAAATATAAAAGAGAATAGGTATGTTTCACTTGTTTTGAACGAGATATTGCTTGTTTCATGGTCTGACTTCACGCACACAAGCAAAAATGTGTGGAAATATCATATGTGGATGAAATCTGTACCAACACTAGTAATAGTTTGCTTTATATAAAATGTGATTCACTTGATTCCACAGATGGTGATATGAATGCAAATTAAAAAAAAGTAATCCGATGTTTCAAAATAAAGCATATAAATCAATCTTATGATTTGTACATCGACTTCACAAAAAACTATGAAATTTATAACTACCCAAATAATAAAACATTTTAAATATCTAGCCTGGGTATCATTTTATTCCGTTGCTTATATTTTTGAAATAGAAATTAAGTAAAATGCTGACTAACTGGAGAAAACACTTGCTGTGACCCTAATCTTGACATGTTGATTTATTGACGGTGTTTTATCTTTAACAATTATACCAACTTTCATATGTCAATTCCAGTGAAATAAGAGACAAAATAGAGTCGACGTCTGTTTGGCGAATCGGGAGAGCGTCTGCTCTAGAGTTGAGGTGTATGGAGTTAATTCTTAAGACTTGGGATCGAATCCAACTACGGTGCGTGGAGCGTGGAAGACATTCCTTCGAACATACCGTAAAAACCGAGGTCCTCTGTCGTATTAGACGCTGGTATAAAAAGATCTCTCACTGCTCAATGGCCCTAAGTACCTATTATAGGTCAACGGCAAGTGGTGGCGTTTTCACGAAACATGTAGGAAGATAAAATACAAAATTCGAGCCCAAAAGACCATGAAACAACAAAACAACGCTTCATTGTATCTAGGTCTTCGTACAAATTGATAGAATTCTGACAGACAATGATGGGTTTTCTGAATTTCATATATTTTTTATTTGGTCGTTAAACTGAAGGCTACATACGAAATGCTAGACCCTTTGTATTTTTTTAAATACAAAAATGATATCACAGAATGTCATGTTTACCTGATCAATTTATAATTTGTTAATTTAATGGTGGATATTCAAAGTGCAATTCTTCTATTCATGAACTTTGTGGCAGCGCAGATTTGAAAAACAGTAGCAGGTGTGTTTACATTTTTGATCACAAAATGTGTTATATTATACTAAATGATTATAAATGATGATAAATACGGAGTCATCCTCTTTCATTTTTGATAATTAAATAAAAAATTTCAATATAATGGAATAGTGATCTAAATTCATGTTTCAATATCTTTTTGTTGCTTAAATTTCAAGAGGATTTATCGTCCAAGGTTTAAAGTTATGAATTTCCGCATATATATAAATTAAGTACACAGTCGGTGTGATTCAACATTAGAATTTATTTGCATATTTGCAGATGTTGTCCAACACAATGTGGGTTGCTGTCATTTTTGTTTTGTGCTTCATCTCTTTTTCTTATGCAAATGAGGACACATGTATTAACGAGTAAGATTTTTCAACTACCGTATGTTCTTCATCTTTCTTGATTTTATTGATTTATCTTTCTGAAACCTGCTTAACATCGAATGACAATTTTACAAAAGGTTATGCTGTGCAGTTTCCCACTTCCTCTTTTCACAGTAAATGAAAACCGATTTATATTATTTTTTATTTTTCCTAAAAATCAGTGATTTGTTTTGATTGATTGTTTGACTTCATATAAACAATGGAAATTTTACAGATACAGAAATAACTTTATCAGAAACGTAAAAAATCGTGTTATTGCTTATAATTATCTCGTTAATTATTAAATTTTAGTTCAACTGGAATATCTGAGTGCTGTGCAGATTTTTATAGAACAATATCAGGTTTATGCAAACGTAAGTAGATATCTTTTACATCTTATTAAATTTAATTATTTAATGAAGGATATGGAGATAACGAATAGTATTCAATATCAAAGTCCATTAAACAACACAAAAATAGTTGCAGAGCAAAAACGGATCGGTAGGATCAGGTGCCATGGATTACTAAGCTTCCCCTAACGACCGTTCACACTTGCCGTGTGCTCCTTGTCATCATCAGGAAAACAACAGAAGAATCCGTTGTCAATATAGTGTATAAATAATGGACTAACAATAGTATAAATAAGTATCAAAAAACATTAGTTAGCATTTGACTCAATGATAAATTGTATTTGTTGACCAAGTCATTATATCGACCATAGATCAAAACATTTTCGTTTTCAACTAATACTCGTTGTATAATTTCAGCTTGCATTGGATACTTTGGAAAAAACTGTTCTACACCGTGTTTTATTGGATTTTATGGTCATGGCTGTCGCAAAAGGTGTAATTGCACTAGTGATACACATTTGTGTGACGCCAAGTTAGGATGTATCGAAAGATATAGTAATCAGATACGTAAGTGGATTTTTCTGAAAGATGTTCGTTTTCTGTCATATTTTTTATTTTATAAAACGTCACATGTTATCCAAATTTGTAGAAAATGAAATTATTTTTACTATTTTTTTTTCAATTTCATGATTTTCAAACTTATCCAGAATTAAAGTCTGCAAAAATGGGATCGCAATGCAGGTCAAATCAAATAATTTACAAACAGTACTCTAAATAATGTCTGTAGTCATATTCTATGTAAAATTTAACAAAAAAACCCTCAAGTTTTAAAAAAAGAAGTGTTGCATTTATTCATATTCAAAATTATGGCTTAATATTTTGCTTCATTAAAAGGAAATCAATTAGAGAAGATAGGTAGCCCCCATAGTTAACAACAAAAGGATGATGTTGTATAACCCCACGGAGCAGAAGTTCGTGTCGCAATTTTATGATATACTTGGGGAAAAAGTCCTGAATAAACTCTAAGAAGGTTAAGTGGAACAATTAAAAAATTCACAGGCGAGTCGTACAGCTGGTAAATTTCTTAAAGTAGTATTACGAAGACTGACATCAACCACGTACTTTTCGAACAACCCTCGAAACTACATGGTCTTGGCTAAATGATGATAAAAATGTTTTTGAAATAGAAAGAACCATGCACGCTCAGCCTTTATTCACGGCTGTTGCATCTCAGATCACTCATCATATAACTCTGTATCAAATACAGTCTGATAACGAATTTTGATACAAAAATAAAATACATGTATTTTAATTTTCAAAACTGAGAAAAAGACAGACTCAAAACTTCATCAATCTTATTTAAAAGAGGGAAAAGAAAAGAATTTACCTTGAAATAATCATTGAAAACAACACCAGGGTTTCAAATATTTAAGGGAAAAGATATACATGTAAGTGACACTGAAATGACTCTTTAACACTAAAATAAATGAAAGATTTATCTATAACGTTTGAGAAAAAAAACTCTTTTAAGCATTGATAGTGAAATATAACTGCATGTACGAGGGGCGTTCAATAAGTAATGTCAATAGCTCGATGACATACAACATAGTAGTCATATGACATAAAGCTTGATTTTCTCTCATTATTGAAACTTTAATGAATTTATAACAGTTTATGTGACCACTTTTCATCACATAGTTTTATCGTGAGAAGCTGGGAAACGAGGGCTATTCGAGACACTGCATTATAAATGAATGGTAAAGAATCAGTAAACTAGAGTGAAAATAAAAGCTACATTAAAGCTGCTGTAAAACTTGTCAAAAATCCCAAAGAAACGTTCACTGAAATATGTGACATTTACAGCAACCGATGCCTGTTTTATAGACAAATTAGCAGGTGGATTTCAAAGATAAAAAATTATATAATGGGCATCAAAAATGGGTACCCTCCTTGCCAACAAAAATTATAACAACTTATGTACTGTTTGCCAAATTTCAACAAATAATATTTTATGTTGTATGATTGACTTTAAGACGCATAGCAAATTTGATAGACATCATATCGGGAGTAGTTTACACTGTTTTTAAGAAACGTTTGACAGTAATTTAGCTTGGTACTCTTGGGTCACCCTGTATTTTGAAAAATGAGTTAAAACGACAGCGTGTACAAAAGTCTTAACAATTATTTAAAAATATCAGTAATTGTAGTAATCCACGTTTGTTTTATATTCGAACAGATATTGGAACATGAATCTATTGCTTAAAACCATTTAAACAAAATTTACCATAAGATGTACTTGATAAAAACGACGAAGGTCTGTCAAGAGCAAAGGTATGCAAGATCACAAAAACAGATTTATATGCAATTTTCTTAAATATTAGTGGTATTATTGTTCAAATTCGTATTCGGGGAGACAATTTGATATATGGAGGTGTCTAGAAAGCAGTTTTCTTTGCAAAGAAATCGAAAGGTTTATCAGAAAAAGGACCCAGATTCAGGAATTCACTACATTGAATTTCTTCATGACAGCGTTTAAACCCGCAAGCCCTTAAGAGTAAAGGGGTTTACGGGATAAACAGTAAGTTAATGTTTTTTCACATTAACAATATTTGCCAGATCTTTGACCTTTTGACTTGTTTCTATTTCCAAACTTGAATAAAACACCTTTCAGAAGGATAAAACAAGTCCAGGAAATCATTGGATCTGCCATTTTCCAGTATACTAAGGGTCATACCCAAAAATGAGTTCTAAAATCAATCAGAAATTGGATAAAAAATGTTACGGACATGTGTTTGAATTAAAATAGATTAATAAGTAAAATCGTGAAGACTAAATCATTGAAAAACGTCGTTTGCTTCTTTCTGAGCCCCAATGACATTATTTATTGAACGCCCCTCGTATCATTTTCACAAAATACTTATCATGATATGATATGCTCTATATCATTGTCATACACAGACTGTGGAATAATTTTGAATAGCTAGCATATCATGTTTCACGGTTAATAGAACTAGTGTAATTAATAACTAGATAACCAGGAAGCTGGATACATTGATACATGTGAAAACAATTACGCGTTTGGAATGAACCAATTAGTTCTCATAGAGCCGGATCCATAGGCGTGACATCAGCTATTTGGATTATTTTGGGTTTCTTGTGTAAACGGTATGTTGTATTCTACGTTAGCAGTTTACAAAAAGGTATATGTACATCCATAGATAATGTGCATTAGGTTTAAATCAATGCTTAGTTTACAATGCAAAATAAGTATAAATGTATGTTAAATTTACAAAAAAAAAAAAAAAAAAAAAAAAAAAAAAACATTCTAAGGATGAAGTAATGGTCAAATGCAAAATTTATTTAAAACGACAACCTACCTTCTTTAATATTGAAATGTTTCAGTGAATTATTTATTTGTCCCTTTATTATTTGGAAATAAATGAATTAAAAGATATTCGCATATTTACATAATTATTAGGTATATATGTCGAGACGTTAATGGCAAGGGAAACAGGAACGCTGAAGGTAAAGTAGATAGTGGACGAAAAAAATGAAAACATCTCCAATTAAAAGAATATAAATTGTTAAAACAGATTTCAATATTTGCAAAGATGGAAAATGGCTCAAGATGGGTTTATAACAAGAATTTTACAAACCTGTAAAGGGTGGTAATATCTTCGAACTTAGCTTGATCTATTAGTGCGATCATTTTTTAAAGTTTGCTTGCTATACCTGATTACTTTCCGCCTTTGTATGCTTATTATTAAATCTGTTCAAATATGCTACTTTTATGTGACCCTAGGCATAATATTTTTCTTAATAATAAAGTAAAACTGCATCTAGCTTTCAATATAAGAAAATAAAGACAAAACACAATTAATAGAGTCAACGCTTGTTTAAAAGATGTAAGTGTCTATTGTGAAGACCACAGTTCTGAATTTAGGGATGCAAAAACAATCCATTAATGTACTATATCTGTTAATAATTTTAAAGAAACTGATAATAAATATCCTCTGGAATAATAATAAAATATATAATAAATGGATGTGTTTATTTATTAAGAAACATTTCATAATTCAGAACACGGGCATACTGGTTATAGTTTCATGGAACTATCGTATATTGAGCCAGATAATCAACTTCCTACAACGTCCACGGACTTCAGTCGAATAGAAAGAAACACTCAGCCATCAACAAAGTCACAACAAAACTCAAGAATCAAGCTTCGAAGGTCTCAGTCGCTTTTGGATGGAAATGGCCGATGCGACAGATACTCAGACGATTACAATCATTTAGATTTTCATAAAACGTTCAAGTCACCCCAAAGGCTTGATACCAATGAAAACTACAGCAAGTTAAATATAATGGCACCACATCGATGCGCAAATACCAGCCATGAGGACTTTGAAGAAGAAAGTAGCTATGTTTCCCTTGTTCTGGAGGATACATTGTTAGTTGCAAGGTCAAACTCAATGCACATAGGACAGGATGATAAAGATAAACAAAGGAAGCTAGACTGTATTAAGAGTGAGAATGAAAGCATAAGTAATGAAGATCAAAATAATACAGACCTACCAACATACTCCAATAAAGATGAAACTTGTTCTGACACTAGTAAAAGTAACATTGACATACAAAGTGATTCACTTGATTCTGCAGATTGTAACTTGGAGTTGAATGAAAAAGATTAGATTTTGCCAAGGATAATATGTGAAAAACTGAACCATTTCAATCATAAATACCTGATTTGTACTTTGTTGTTGAAGCCAAAGAATTAATAAATATGAAAATTATCAAATAAAGATCATAAAATGTTAAAAAAATAATAAAATCTTAAAACTTCCTTGATTGTCTAGATAATTTACAAGTATATAAGATAGCTTAGAGGGATTTCTTTTTTTTTTACTTTTGATGGGAAGGATATGGAGATAACGAACAGTATTCAATCTCAACGTCCATTAAACAATATACAAAATAAGAGCAGAGCAAACACGGACCTCCGAAACATCAGAGGTGGGATCAGGTGCCATGGAGGAGTGAGCATCCCCTGCCGACCGGTCACACCCGCCGTGTGCTCGTTGTCATGATCAGGAAATAACGGGAAAAATCCATCATCAATTCAGTGTATAAATAATGGACTAACAATTGGTATGAAAAACGAAAGTCAGCATTTGACTTTATGATAAAGTGTATTTGCTGACAAGGTCATTGTATCGACCATAGAATTTACGAAACGATCACTTTAAACGAATAATGAATAATGAATAGTTCCGCAGAGATATTTCCTTGATATATGATGGTATAATGCATACAGTTTTTCGCTGCAGGTGTGATTATTTATTTATCATTTCCAGGAAAGACTTTTATCTCATACTCGTTGAAATGGTGTATATTCGCTCGGCAAGCCTCGCGAATATATACACCATTTCAACTCGTTGGATAGAGCCAATATCAAATTACACAATATATATATCCTCTATTAATGATTTCCGAATAGTTTACATCGCACAGCTTTATTTTGTCTAAAA